TTTTTTTTTTTTTTTTTTTTTTTTTTTTTTTTTTTTTTTTTTTTTTTTTTTTTTTTTTTTTTTTCTTTCCTCATCGTCTTGGTCGCAATAGACCCTCTTGCCCTACCCATTCGACTCAAAACAATCCGCCGACTTGGAGAAATCAGCTGCTGCTCAGAGACCTTGGGAAGACCCTTCGAGGACGCATGCTAGAAACGCTATGAGGTTGCTCTTGGACATGCACGAAGACTTTGGCAGCCCTATCCCTCCTCAGGGCTTCAAACCTTGGTCAGGTGGCAAGGCTGATCAGTAAAGGTCTCCATCAGCCCCTTTTAGACCCGCGAACGGGCAAGGCTAGTTACGCTCCTTTCTTTCCATCGAACTCGCTGCCGGGTGTTTACGAGCCGACAAAAAGCAATAGATGCAGAACAATCCTCATCAGACGATGTATCCTTTTGCGATCGTAGAATCAGTCAAAGCTTTGGTGAGGTTCTATTGCTCGAAAGGATAGACAGGTAGTCTATCCTCATCGCCCGCTATTTGGAGCGGGGCAGACGATTGCTGAGCAGGTCCAACAGGAGCAGCTTCGATGCCCAAAAACTTGTATTGCGTTCCCATACCCTTTTGATCGATCAGCCTCCTTACTGCCCTTCTGATATCCGCCTTGTTCTCCTCGGAAATGGAAGGCGAGTCGAGCAGATGTTTGAGTCTTGGTGCTAGACCTAGCGATTGGAGAAAGGAGGATTGGGTCATCGGACCCAGTGGCCGAGCTGAGACGAAGCAGAAAGAGAGGAAAAGAGTGGAGTGGAAAAAATCAGCTTGAATTGTCCCGCCGACTTTCTTCGTTGGAAAGCGCCAAGTCGAAGCTTTGAGGTTGTGGCGACTGCAAGGAAGGAAAAGATGGGATTCCATCAACTCACCATCGGTGCCTTCTAGGGCTGACCTCAAGTAGGCAAAGTCCACATTAGCTGTCAGATCCGCTTCCCCCGCATCTTTAAGCGGATCAGACAAGGCATGTTTCTTGAAGGCCTGTCAAGATACGCGCAGCAAACAGCGGGGATCAGTGCTAGGTCCAAACGGAAAAGTCGGGCTGGGACTGCGCCGCGACGACGCGTTCGAATCTCGATTGCATCCCGGACTTCATGTAGGGATTTAACAATCTCTGTGTACTCACGCGCCAACTATCACCGCTAGCCACCACATTTCCATAATCCACAATCAATCCCGCACCTCCCAAACTCTGTCCCGACATCCTCTTTCCCTCAAACTCCTGATCCACTCCCCCATCCTCCTTCAACCTCCTAGCTTCTCGCCCGCTCAACACCTCTCCCAATCTCCTGGCCGCGCTGAAAGATTCGAAGGACACTTCTACGCGCGAACCGGGGGGAAGGGACTTGAAACGGCCTTGGAGAGATGCGAGAGTGGACCAGGGAGTGGGGCGAGGTGAGAGGACTTTTCGAAGGGCTGTAAAGGGGGACGAGGAGGTGGACGATGCAGCGGAGCCGTCGTTGGAGCTCTGCACTGGCTGAAGGTCGGACGGTCGAAGGATTGTACTGATGAGATGGCGCCAGGTGATGTGGCACGGAAGACATGTCAGCGTCGCTGCACATGCGCTGCATGTGTGCTGTCCTGTCCTGCGTTCCGACTGTTGAGCGCGTCCGGCAACCTACTCACACGCCTGATTGACCCTCGGTGGGCCTATCGACGTCAACAAGAACCTCTCGTAGACCTTTGGGCGTGTTCTGAGGTAGCAAAGTAGTGCTCGCAGTTCATTCAGTGCTACATGCTTGATGCACTTTGCTGGTCGTCCCCTTCTCGGCACACGAACCACTCACTTCAAAAATATGAATGGGCAGAGCATCGAAAAATTCATGAGCAAGCACCATGGTGTACGCATTCTTACTGATGGGCACATCTTCGATCCTAGGGAACCATTCCACCTGCACTTTGCGTCGACCATCCTCCCCCTCATCACTGCGCTGCTTATGTTCGTCTTTCGAACCATTTTCCAATCCATCTTCCGCAGAACTCATTTCCAGACCTGAGGATTGCAAAATGGAGCCGAGCGCGCTTGCTTGCGAGGTCATCATGCCCGGCGAAGCTTCTACTAGATGGACGGATCGCAAAGAAGAAAGCAGCGTAGGAAATCGAGAGAACGTCTTTTGGTCGATATGGACACGAGGAGGGTATTGGGAAGCTGCGGTGTGAGCTCATCGATGGACGACCCAAAGGGCGGTAAAAGACAATGCTCGTGCCTCACGCTTATCACGTCCGACAAGAGGGTGCCTCGTCCAGGTCCTAGCTCGACCAATCTGACTTTGCTCGGAGATCCAGCGGCTTGCCATCTGGATATCAAGTACACTGCCAAGAGCTGATACGAGAGGGTGAC